CGAGAGGCTATCGAGCGCGATTTGACCCCTAACGAGAAATCTGCGAGTTGCGAGTATGCGAGCGCGAAGCGAGCGAGCGTTCTCGAAAAATTTGATATCGAGCGAGTGTTCTCGAAAATTAGCGAGCGAGTGTTCTCGAAGACTTTAATTAGATATCGAGCAAGGGTTCTCGAAAATTGTTTGTATCGTGCGAAATCGAGCGAGAGTTTGACCAACATGTGGCGAAACATAGGATGATAATTGCTGTTTCCTTGCAGGGGCGGATCTAGGGGTAGTCAGATTAGTCACGCGACTAACGTAAAAAAAAGGCATATAAAAAAAATTTGGACTAAGGTTTTTGTATTTTTCCCAGCGCAAACGCTTCTCTTCATTTCTGATCATGCAATGAAAACTACATCAGACTCCAGCATATAAACTTCGATCAGTTTTTGCACATTGAGCCAGCGATTGATTAGTCAAACGCATAGATATAGCATATAGGAGATCTAGATTGCTAACGCATACCTAGCGCAGGTGGGGCCTACATGATAAATCCAAGATGGCGGTACAACAGGGCAAAAAGACTATAGATTCTATTACGAAAATCAGGATTTTTGCATTTTTTGCCGTCGCATTGTTTCGAAACTTATTCGGTCAAATTTTATGGTAAAGAGAAATTTACCGCGAAGATTTTGAGCATATATATGATTGAATTGGATGAAAACTCGCAAAATTATCCATCGATAAAAGTTCGTGTATAGTACTGATATAGTACTATATATGTAACTTGTACAGTTTTGCTTTAATTTTTGCTCACTATTTGCATAAAAAGCAAATTATAACAGACCATAGATGATAGACCCTCATCCAGTGCTCTCATCAGTTTACTTCTCTAACAAGCAAGGGGGGGGGGGTACATAACAGTTCATTTTTCATAATTATGAGGACAGAGCAGATGATGATGAGAGATGCAAGTATAAAACACCATTCGCAAGGCTAGATGTTAACATAGCACAGTATTTCTGGCAATAAAACGCTCCAACTGACCAACTGACCATTTCACACGAACTTTTATCGATGGATAATTTTGCGAGTTTTCATCCAATTCAATCATATATATGCTCAAAATCTTCGCGGTAAGTTTCTCTTAACCATAAAATTTGACCGAATAAGTTTCGAAACAATGCCACGGCAAAAAATGCAAAAATCCTGATTTTCGTAATAGAATCTATAGTCTTTTTGCCCTGTTGTACCGCCATCTTGGATTTATCATGTAGGCCCCACCTGCGCTAGGTATGCGTTAGCAATCTAGATCTCCTATATCTATGGTCAAACGATAAGTCAAATAAGCGGTATTGAAATGAAAATTGACTATTCTGCATTTTAGTTCATGTGATTTGATTGGTCAAATTAGCTCAGATTACACATTACAGGCATGTTGATTGGTCAGACCTATTTTGACTAACGATTGCGCAATTTTGACTATTTTGACTTATCCTGCAAATAGATAGCAGCTTCTGATTGGACAATTTGCGCAAAAGAGTTAAAGAACATCGCCTCTGATTGGCCTTCTAATCTTCAATTTGGAAGCATTGTGCACTTGGTAGCTCTGTTGCAGCTCTGTACAATTTTACAAGCAAATTATTTCGCTTAACCTTAGTATATTTGTTGAACTATTTTCGAAATAAAGAGTTCGAAAGGGTTATATCGTTATTTGTTACGATAAGGGATGCTTTCTGGTGTTCTGTGGAGAATATTTCAAGCTTATAAATTCGATGGATGCAAGAAAATTGACTTGGCCGAAACTATGATGTGTTGATTTGAATGATTTCTCGTCGTCTATATTTTCAAGAGATTAATAAGAGGTGTATGGCAATAAGGTAAAGTGGTTTGAATTTTGAACAATAAATCGTTGAATTGAACGTACGATTTGCATAATTGTGCGAGGTTATAGGTCCAAAGTTTCATATACTGCATACATATTCATTTATATGTGTATATAATTAAAACACCTCAAGTGGCAGAAACTTGATCTCAAATATTTGATCATGTTGGATAAAAAATATTTATTGTGTACATGCTCTATAGAGTATTGATTGACTGATAATAGCTCTACAAATGTACTTTATAAAGATAATAATAATATAATCTTTGGTTATATTTTTAGATCTAATGCAACTGGCAATTGCCTGTATAGCTCTGTTTCGATCCTAAGCATTGACAGGTACCAATGACCTATAAATTTAACCTTGATAGTTTAAATGTTTACAGTGCAAGTGTGAAAGGTCTATACAGTAGGTAACTTTTTATATACGGTATAAGCGAAGAAGCACTATGTTTGAAGACTAATTAAATTAAATGACTTGGCTTGGTCATGATGCAAATTCACCAGGATATTATTCCTAACATGCTGTAGGAAACTTTATTAATAAATTTTCTGGAACATGAGGTTAAAGTTAAATATATCGGCTTGCAAAAAGACCACTCTCGCCTCCAATAACAATAACCTCACTCTTGTACACAACACTGACATGAGAAAAAACTTCCTGGGGCATGAGAAAAAACTTCCTTCATCATCAACCAAACTTAGCCTTTCAAGATCACCACCTTAATTCCCATAATCTCCCCCCTCCCCAAACATTCGGGCTTTGTAGACAAAAGCTGATGCCAAATATCGGTCTGATCTCATTGCCTTGAGATGGGTCCATTGCATCTTGAACAGTTAAATTTTTCAACAGACCAGGGCTTGAAATAACAACTGATTACCAATCAATAATCAGCAAGAAATTGCTTATGATCAGTGGAAAAGCAGGGTTTTCAACCTAAAAAAGCAGGGAAAGTCATGACTGCCGATCACCATGATCAATCACCATGATCAATCACCATGATCAATCACCATGATCAATCACCATGATCGGGAATTTTGGGAATGTTATTTCAGGCCCTGACAGACAAACACCATGTTGATAGTATGTGTCTATATACAGTATGTAAGCATAGTGTAAGAATAATATAATACTGTGTTAAAAACCTTGCCAATTATTTCAGATAACTAGATAAGTAAAGTAATAGTCATTTGTAATGAATCTTTTGTATTTGAATCTACTGTGACTAAAATATGTTTAATTAAAATGCCAGGTAAAATAAACTTGTTTTGAATAAAAGTTGGCTTCCAATGAAGCTGCAGCTTTGTGGTACCATTTCACTTGCGATGTTATACATTTTCATAGTGGACAGTATATAACAAGATGATGAATTTAATTAGATTAGACATAGGTTAGTAATAGGGGGAATGGGGAAGGGGCTAAAGGGAAAAACTGGGCAATTTCACATATTGTCACCCATTTTTAACCAATCTCCTTTTGCTATGGTGAAAGGTGTGAGGTGGGTTTATGGCACCTTAAAACCAGATTGCTCATTTTAGGTGGTTTTCATTGTCACCCATTTCTAAGTTCTAACCAAACTCCTTTTGCTCTTGCAAAAGGTGTGAAGGCAAGCAATCTAGTTTTAAGGTGCCAGAAACATGTGCTTGCGTTCAGCTTTTTCAAGGAGCTGTCCTTGTTGGATCATGGTTTACTATTTTTGGTAAATGTGTTTCCTAGGCATGCTGATGAACCAAGGTATACACTGTAGGGCAAAACAGTCTATAGATTACTTTATCATATATATGCTGAACATTGGCAGGTACGAAAATTATGTCATTTGCGCATTTGTAGTTTGATAAAATAAAATACCTATACTCCCACGAAAATTGGACTATCATCGTGACATCGAATGACGTCATGGCAAATGACGTCATCACTTTTGCGTCATCGATGACGTCATATATTTTTGACTAACGTGCGAAAAATCCTAGATCCGCCCCTGGTTTCCTTGCATGGCAAACGTCACGTATTTTGACATATATTTATACCAATTCCCTAAAAATATAACTATGATAGGGTGATAGCGGTTATATTATTTCGTTACTCACCTTTACCCAACCACAAGATAAACAAAATTCCCTGGTTAAATCAGCGTCTGTTTATTCGAAGTGTTACATGTTAGTGTCAGTAAAAACACGCTCTTTCTATTATATACTTTATTAGAATTAGCGGTTCAACCTACTCGTTAGAAATAGAAAATGAGACTATTTCCGAAATTTTACGGTGTGACTCATATACACTAAAAGCAATCTATATATTCAATTATAGCCTTAGGCTATAAATAATGTTAGTTCGCTTCGGTTGATTGCATTTAGTGACGGATAACTGTATTCATGCACCATCTTTACAACCACAATAACAGGAACTCCACCGACACTTATTGTCTCGTATGGATTATCGAAAACAAAAGAGCGTTACAGATGATGTCAGTGAAAAACATGCTGTCTGATTTATACTGAGATCTGAAGCGTCTTAGGCTCATTACTGTTTTGATGTCTGTCGGTGAGCCTGCTCTGAGAGATATTATAGAAATAGAAATAAGCCTGAACGCGATGTCTTCAAGAAACTTGACGAAGTTTTACTTAGTTAATTTACTTTTACGCTGACAAGACACTGTTAGTGGTGTCGCGTGAGAAGTTACTGAGCGCAAATGAAGTAGTCATCGCGGTCAAAGGAACTGACGTCCAAGTGATGCTGAATGGAAAGGCATGGAAAGCGAAGTTGATATCTTTTGTAGGTAAAATAATACTTATTTTTCGTAGATTGTATTTCGTCTTTATTTCAAAATATTGATTGTGGATTTTAATGTTTCTGGATTTTAATGTTGTCCTTAAAGATCAAGTCAATAATTGACTCTGTATTGTTATTTTCAGTTTACTCCGTGTTTTCGCACGGACATGCGAAGCAACGTTACTTCTTGCGAAAAATTTTACACGCAGTATAGCGCTGCGAGAATTCTCGTGAATGGATGCATCGAGATTTCTTGTTACGAGAGTTCTCGAGAATGTTTGCATCGAGATTTCTCGCTTCTCGCAAAATTCTTGTGTATCGAGTAACGCGAAGCGCGTTTCGAGAAGCCTATCGAGCGAGCGAGAATTTTTATCGAGTGGGTTTCGAGATCTCGATACTCGAAACATTTTCCTCGATAGCATCGAGCGAGAATGGTTAACTTTCATTAGGGTATAGCCTTTCAGAAAATGACGATAAGTTTAGAAGATATTCAACTTTTTCTCTTTTTATCGTTTGAATGTTTGGCGAAGCGGTGAGTATAAATATATGATTGTTTCGGTTTGTATAATGTTCGACAGCACTTGACCCCCCGTTCGAAAGGTTATTTTGTGAGGATTACAGTGGTGGGTTTTGTTTTAAAGGGGGGTAAATACTCGCCGCGATATTTACATTTGAAAAATTGAATCGTAATGTAATGCGAAACCACTTGTCGACAAAGAGTAATTAAATTAACTAACTTTAGAAATCAATAAAGACATTTTTCGAGTCAAAATAATTTATTATCCCTACAAGTAAGGTATATTATAGCAGGAAATACAATTTGCTGTAGCATAATATAATGATATTACTCTAACACCATATAATATTTAATGAAGTTCTAAAATAAAATTTTGATTAGAATGATATCATGAATACATGCGGAATACAATTACAAGTCTGTCAGCATGAATTGAACCTGCAGCCCTGCAATTCTACCACAGCCCTCTGACCTAAAGAGCCCTTTTGCCAAGAGGTAACCACAAGTTGCTGTATATATACCATGGTGGTGTCATTGGTAGTGTATTAAATAAACTGCCCAGCTGGATGCATGACACTAGTATTATATACATGAACTCTTGGTTACTGTAGAGCTTTCAGATTGACTCTCAGGTCGATGGACTCTTAGGGCTTGTCGGCTTGAGGACCCTTGACGGTTAAAAAGCTGATCAGAATCACAGGACAGCAGGTTCCATTCCCAGCACAGTACCGGCTATTACATAGTTATCGTTCAAAAAATGTACATTTACAGAAAAGCTTTAACCCAGTAAGTGGCAGCACTCTCTCCTTAATGAGCAAAAATTGTCTGACCGCATTAGACAGAAAAAATAAAAAAGTAAAGCACATTGCCACTTAAAGGGTTAATATTCTGTTCAATGTAGAATATTTACAAGTAAAATATACTACATGTATTAAATGTAGGCTATGTAGTGTCATGCACTGCTCAATCAAACATGTCAAGCAAGTCCATTAGTAAAAATTTAGTACAAAACAAGCTGTATACCACAAGTCGGCAACTCCATCCCTTGCATGGTTTGGTACTGTAATTTACAAAAATGCTCTCCAGCAAAAGAATAACATTTTCCAAATAGACCATGAAGTTCTTAGAATGCCATTAATGACTACATACAATTATACCACTTGTTTAGACAACTTGCCTTCTCCTGGGAAGCTTTTGTTAAATCCATATATTAATGACAATCACTAGTAAGAAAAAAATATATAAGGTTGATATATAACAGCAGCAAATTATTGATTGATGTTTGTGATGTTACTGTGAGTGTGCGTCCACACCGGGCAAGCTGAAAAGTTAGTTTGGCCACGGTGGGAATCGAACCTGCGGCCTTTGGGATACTAGTCCAATGCTCTGTCAACTAAGCTACATGGTCAAGTCTGTTCGAGTTGATGATATCTGGCAACTGAGTCTAGTTCCTTCGATATCAGTGTACAGGGGTATTCAATGATACGATTATTTTGTGTGTGTTGGTGTCATGTACTCAGGTGAATATATGATGTTTCATGTTTGTGATGTTACTCTCACTGAGCGTGCATCCACACTGGGCAAGCTGAAAAGTTAGCTTGGCCACGGTCACAGGTTCGATTCCCACTGTGGCCAAGCTAACTTTTCAGCTTGCCCGGTGTGGATGCACACTCACAGTAACATCACAAACATATATTCACCTGAGTACATGACACCAACACACACAAAATAAAAATTATTGATTGATTGACAATACATTTACTATTTTTGGTTGTTTGCATATACAAAGCAAGAAATGTGACTGCATTTCAAACAGATTACATATATATATTAAAGTATACATATTTAACACGAAATACAACATACATGTATATCACACAAATAAAGCCCCGTTTACACGAGCAAATTTTATTTGACAAATTTCATATGTCAGAGATATTTTGCTCGTGACTCGTGTAGATGATAAATTTGTGACAAATTTATTGTGACAAATGCATTTGATTTTGATGAAATGAAATTTGTCAAATAAAATTTGCTCGTGTAAACGGGGCTAACAACACATATAAGTAGAGACTGTAGATTAGACTTATGGACTTCTGCTAATACAAATTAATCGAATCTGGTTAAAACTGAATGTCTAGATCGGCAAATCGGCGGCGAAGCGACTAAAATACAGGCCTTCCAGCCTAGACCTAGGCCTTCTATTTTTATTTATATTTTTTTAATATTCAGCGCTTTTTCATATGAAAAGACTGGGACTAGGTGATTTGGGGGCGGGGCGGAGGAAGGACACAAGCCTGACGCAAGCGAAAAAATTGAAGGCCTAGTGGATTTCCCAACAACAAGGCCAAAACTGCCCTGAAACTGCCCTGATTGCGAAATGCCCAATCATTGCGTTCTCAAACAGAATTATTTGCAACTTAACAGCGAATTTAAACCGATACAGGTAAAATAAACTCATTTATAGTATAAACTTACTATTTTTAGTTTTATACACGTCTAGAAAATCGGTTTTTTATCATAAAGTTTGAAGCAACACTATTATTTATATGTTGACAAGGTGAAGCGAAAGCACAAAATAATAATTCTTTTATTCGCAAGACAATCTACTGTTTTGCTTTGAATAACTATATTTGCAAATTGGGAATGAGGATTTTGAAATTATTGTTCAAATCGAGGTTCAAATATTACGGATATGCCATTTGTAAACAATGTACGTTTTTATATACAGTACTGTACGGGCTAATAATATATGTATCCGTTTTATTTAATAAATTATAATTGTATATGTGTTTGTATATTTTACAAACACAAGACTGCTTCTTGCCAAAATTGAGAAAATATATATTAATGTAGTTGTGTATAAGACAAAATTTCATGAAAGATTCTACTTTTGGTATATATTTTGACTCATTTTGTGCTTTCGCTACACCTTGTCAACATATTAAATAATAGTGTTGCTTCGAACTTTATGATAAAAACCCGATTTTCTAGACGTGTATACAAATAAAAATAGTAAGTTTATACTATAAATGAGTTTATTTTACCTGTATCGGTTTAAATTCGCCGTTAAGTTGCAAATAATTCTGTTTGAGAACGCAACAATTGGGCATTTCGCAACCAGGGCAGTTTCAGGGCAGTTTTGGCCTTGTTGTTTAGCCTGCGAACAGGCTCTCAAGCTGAATTGAGAGCCTGCATCGATGACTAATGAATTTGAATATCTGCCCCGTAACGTTCGTTTTTCCAAATATGGAATGTCTATCCTTATATGGTGTTGTTTACAACTTTCGTGCAAACTAAATTTAGACCGTGCAAACTAAATTTAGACCGTACAGTTTATACTGTTTTTCGAAATATAAGATATTCAAGCAAAAGTTCAAATGTTTTAAATACTGTTTTCTCAAAACAGAACATTTCGTGCTTTGAGATAAGACGGCCAAGACCAATTTGAGCAGTTAATGTGTTTTTTTATGCATAGTGCTTCAGCAGTTGACATATATAGAGCTCAGCGGAAACATATAAATTATAGCATCTGACCAATGAGAATTTCGCGTCACGATTTGAGACGCAGATATTCAAATTCATTAGTCATCGATGTAGGCTCTCAATTCAGCTTGAGAGCCTGTTCGCAGGCTACTTGTTGTTGGGAAATCCACTAGGCCTTCTAGGCTTGGTTCCTCCGCCCCGCCCCCAAATCACCTAGTCCCAGTCTTTTCATGTGAAAAAGCGCTGAATATTAAAAAAATATAAATAAGACTAGAAGGCCTAGGTCTAGGCTGCAGGCCTTCGTCTTCGATTTAAAAATATAACTATACAGTATATCAAGTAACTTTCCGCACACAAATAAGTAAATACACAATAAACATACCTTTGAAAACAAATTCCATGTATCTTATTAGGTCTTTGGAACTTTATATGTAGAAAATTTGAATAAATATCTTTCCCCGTTGAATGTTTACTCCCATAGGATTGAACTTGGCGCTTGGTCTTTGTGTGAACCAGATCGAATTACTACACGTGATAAATTCTAAGCATGCTAATTGGTTGAAAATCTGGAACTTCCACTTGTCGCAAATTATATTCAGTAGAATTCAGCAGCAGAACATTTCACACGTTCAAATTACAGATTTAGGCCAGCAAATAAAAAATATAGATGACTCGCCGACAATTTCTGGCTACATTCGATCGCCGCGTGCGATTGAAGCCGATATACGGTATAATACATCAATGGCATCAATCTGACTTGGCAACATTCGAGTAACCAAAAACGTAAAATTAAAAAAAGACTTTATATCACGAACTTCGTGCTTTTCGCATTTGACTGGCAATACTTTAATAGAGTACAGCCTCCAGCAGAAAAACTCTTGGATTCTCAGGCACATTAATTATATATTGTAATAATTTACTCCAGATCCAAAACAATTTTACTCTTTTTTGGGAGTTGAAACGACCCCTGGAGTAAAATTAAGGAGTACAAATTACTCCATAATTTCTTCTCCTAAACGCGAGTTTAGTTTACTCCTCCAGCGGAGTAAAATTGACTCCTGATGGAGTAAATTGTGGAATGCGCGCCGAAGTGGAGTAGTTTTAACTCTATTTTGGGAGTAGATTTTACTCCACTATTTTTACTCTCCCGAGTTGAGTAGTTTTAACTCCTATGGTGGAGTTAAAATAACTCCTTGAAATTAACAGTGAATCTCCCCCGAGGAGAGACTGGGTATATGCCTTTATAGATTAGGCAGGGGCGATTATTTTTATACTATCGCAGAAATGGTGGGAAGAGGAATTTCGACTGTTAGTGCTATTGTACAGGAAGTATCAGAGGTTCTTGTTGAACCTGTGGCATGAAGCGATATCGAGTAACATGCCAAAATGTCGCGAAGGTTTCGAAAAAAAGATTGTTGATATGGAAGAATTATAGCAGTTCCCCTGCAGTTGGGCAGCCTTAGATGGCTGTCATATTCCGATGAAATGTCCTCCAGGCGGCCTTGCAGCATGTAAAGAGTATCATACTTTTAAAAACTTTTACTCAATCGTTTTAATGGCGTTGGTAGATTCTAACTACCGTTTTGTATGGGGCAGTTGTGGGTTCCCGGGAAACTCCCACGATTCCATCATTTTCCAGTTTACAAAACCTTTGGAACTCAATCCAACAGGGCATGTTACCTAGTGTAGGAAAACTTGTTGGTAAGGTAAACATTCCACCCCTAATAATAGCGGACTCTGCATTTCCACTACATACCTGGCTAATGAAGCCTTATACAGATGCCGTGTTAACTCCTCAACAAAAATACTTTAACTACAGATTAAGCAGAGCCCGAATGGTTATGAGTGTGCATATGGCCACTTAAAGGGCCGATGGAGAGTGCTGCGTAGGAAAAGCGAAAGCAGCAAAGAGCAAGTTCACATGACTGCGCTTGCACGCATGGTACTTCACAATGTTTGTATAATGCCAAGTGACGCTATTTCAAAAAAGCTTGATCTAACAATCGAACCTGAAAGCAATGAAAAAAGAGACAGAGCAGAAGTTAGAAAACTGTTGCAAATGAGAGAATGCAAAAGCATACGTGATGTTTCAAAAGAGGCAAATAGCATCAGAAATGCACTTACCATTAAACTATGGACAGAAAAGGAAACTGGCATAGTTTCTTGACTTGATAATCCTGTAGTATCCGTATACTACAAGAACGCCATTCTACGAATGAACGCCATATTACTTAAACCGTTTGAAATATTGATAACATGCTCATCAGGTGGGGTGCCAAAGGATGTTTGTCCTTTTTCAACCAAGGCCAATTAAAAATAATTTTCAGTTTTTCATCAGATTTTTTGAAAAACGGGGGGCGGGCGGGCGGATTTTAATTTTTTTTATTATTTATTTTTTAATAGCGTAAGTAGTATATTTCCCCTTTTATTAAAAAACGGATTAAAAGGTTGTCTTCCATTTCACACATTTTGTCTACGCAAGAAATAGTCACAGTCAAGAGCCATTTTAACTTCTACGCCTAAATACGAGACCATGTTGTACTCTGATAGCGCAGAACTGATGCGTAATGAAACATTTATTAAAGAAATAAAAACATTTAATAATATGAACCATAAAGTATATGACTAATAATTTACTGAACATAATTTTATAGCCTTTGTCACTTGTAGCCAAATTTCAAGTTTTTTTAAACTTCTTTCTTGATGATCGCTTCTCTGGTTTGCGAGTTTTCTTGCACTCTTCACATAGTGGATAGCTTTCGGGATTGGTATTAAGATCGTCTTCAATGCCACAAAAGAAGCAAATGTCTTCAAAACCTGCTGCATACCACGGCTTTTCTGTTGGTTGACTGCAATCGAGACTGGCTTTCACAAACACTGAATCAAAAACCCCTCTCATTTCTTCATCCTCCAAATCCGAGAACACACTGCCACATGTGTAGGACAAATCCTCCAACGCACTTTCAACTTTACCATGCAGTTTACGCGAAATCTTTTTCTTGGAATACAGGCATCTCCATTTGTCACAATCTTGACATTGAACCACAATTCCGACATTCTTGGCACACTGAGCACTTTTGTGATGCTCTTTCAAGCTGTAATGAAATTTTTGTTGAGATCAAAATTTAGTCTATTACGCAAATGGTCAATTAAACAAGAGCAGAGAATTATATGTCAACCACACATTAAGTTATTTTTAATATTTACTGTTAATATACATACATTTATTAATATCACACGATTTTATTACTTCATACACCGTCTTTAGTTATTAAAATACACTGTATATGTTTTAACTGATAACGTATAAATAAAAGCTTTACAACATAAATAATAACATTATTTAATACCTAGTGTTTCGACATATTGAAGAGACCACCCAACACCATTTTTCTTCAACCAGGAAACTATATCATTTTGTAACTTATCCTTCTGGTTGTGAACGACTACATTGCTTGGAACACAAGTTAATGTACGGGCAGCAGCAGTAAGAATGTGGAAGGCATTGGTACACTGAAGAGGCTCAGTACGATTTATATTTGCATCATGTGTAAACTCAATGAAGTTGCCAAGAGTTCCAATCACCTATTTTTTAATAATCAATAAAAATACAGATTCTTTATATGTTATAAACCGTACACAGGTACACTCGTTATTAATATGATCACAGATCTAGAACTGCAGAAACAAAATATTTAAAATATACAACACAATGAATCTACCTCTGCCACTGTGCACTGGCTGTCTACTCGGGTTAGGTCTTTCTTGCTCTTTCCAACATGGACATGAACATTGTTTAGTTGAACTGCAGAATTATCATCAATTGGCTCACCTATTCAAAAACCATATAAAAAATCATATGTTTTTTTATATTATTAAAATGTTAAAATTGTTAGAAATGCTGTTATTAAAACTTTATATTTTATAATAACATAGATCGCCGTAGATGTGCTGTTGCTTTGAAATTGGCAATATATAAATAGTGCCGGAATATATTGGACCTCACTATTTTGGCGCCAAATATCGAAATAAAATTTGCATATTTTTATACATATTAAAATAATAATATTAACATATTTAAATCATTAAACATTTACATACAAACCTTGATCAAGGATCCCTGCAACCAGATCATTATAAACATCATTTAAAGAAGAATTGTCTGGAACTCGTACGCCTATCCAGGGCTTCAAAACTTGTGTTCCAGCTCGTATTTGAACGACAACGAAAGGCATGTTGAAACAATATGGCCGCCAATGTTCGGTTTCCGACTATTTCCGACCAATTCCGATTTAATAATAATAAAAAAATTATTCCGGGCGGCCAATTTTTCAGGGGCGGGCGGCGATGAAAAACTGAAAATTATTTTTAATTGGCCCAATGTAGATATCACTTAGTGTTATCGATTCGAAAATTTTAGTAACCTAATTTCAGAAATGTTAGTAACCAATTGTCCATGCAAACTTTATCTTAGGAGCGTGCAAACTTCTCTTCTTCCTCCTTGATCCGCCTACGAGTCGAAGTACAGGGGTACTTACTTGATCCAGAAAAGATTGACCCTATAACATATATACATGTACATATATTCACTTTAGTAATACAATGTCAAAGTATGTGATATTCACCACCTCTGATGTTTTGTTGGTCAGTATTAAGACAAAATGATGTTGCACTAATGAGAACATATATGAAACAGGCTCTTGTGGCAACCTTTTGTCTTAATATATATTTATGTTTTAGGGTCAAACTTATCCAACCAGAACTCATATGACATTATACTACAGTTGGTTTGAATTCTTTATTCATATTAAATACAAATATTAAACTTCTTGAAACTCTCTTACTTAGTTAATTGAAACTCAACTGACAAACATAACTATATCCATCAAGTTTTAATTTGCAAAACAGAAGGTGCTAAAAGTAGAAAATAAGATTCTACTGGCAGGGGATTATTACAAATTTATATTGTTAATTATCATTCATAAAACTGATAGAAGCTCAACTTCTACCAGTTATATCCATGTGTAGTTAAAAGGGCATATTGTGAAAAACATGTTTTCTCTGTGCTTTAATTCTGCTTTAATGTGAAACCTAAAGTTATTCTTTCACACAAAAAGAGACTAGATCAGAAAGAAACAAAACTTGAACAGATAAATATGAACCAAAAACGCAACATGACTTAAACTTCAGTAATTTCTCACCTTTGCATAATGAACCAACTGTGACTGCAACACAAAGCTTATCCAAAACTAATATGAACACTTAAATTATTTCTATTGCTAAATGCTCCAGTTTATCTGGCAAAGATTTAAAACCGAATTGAATTTACAATTTATGGTATACTTTTCCATCACAAAAGTTTTGAGCTGAAGTTGATGGCATGTTAGATGAAGGAGTGGATGGACCAAATGATGCACGAGGCATTTCTGGTTGACTTAACATGTTATGGGCAAATGTTCCACTTCCATGCCAGTTTTGACTGTAGTTTGCAATTGACCCATTTTCATTATATTGTGTATTCCCAGAATTAGGCATTGATTGAAAGGCATGCTGTTGCTGTTGTTGTTGTTGTTGTTGAGTAGCACTTCCTCCAGAACTCAACATCTGAATTAGTTTCAACTCGTGTTCCCGAGATTTATCCATTTCTTCCCGTAAGAAGCTAATCATGTCTTTTGAAGTATCATTATTCACAACTTCTTTTAAAAGTCCTATTGATTCCAAAACAGCAGCATCCATCTTCTTTGAATCCTCCTTCTTACTTTTCTTCACTGGAACGAAAACGTTTCTTAAAGTGTTTATGAAACGGCTGAAAAAATTTTCTGAAATTGTGCTGATTTTATAGTTTAAAGTACGCTGAATATCATGCTGTATTTTATTTTCGCCCCGCGATTTTTTAAAGTGGATTTTTTAAGCTACAAAGTTCAGCAATTCGGCTATTTTTTGTCCCGGGGTCTGGACCCGAGTGAAAACAGCGCGTGACGTCACTGGTTGTACACACATGTTGACATTCTCAATATAAACAGTAAAGAACATTTGTATTATCGCGCTGTATAAAATATTTTATCGTGATTTCTACTCTTTTACTATGTCGCACAGCGAAGATTCTCTTAGTTACTCTAACTTAGAGTCTGATAACATAACGGAGAGCAATTTAGAAGGAAATATGAACGTAACGAATTGTTTTGAGCCGTATCAAGGGGAACTATTGCCAGTACAGACGACAGCGAATCTTCTGATGAGGAACAGGACGAAGATTACATTTTGCCATATGTTTGGGAGAAGCGTTTAGAAAAAATATTCCATTAGCACATTGGTGAGTTCTACAAACAATACTAAGTCACTTTATTATGATTTTCATGCAATATTTCCCTGATATTTGCCTTATTATTTATCTCTGTTGTAGGTGTTCGTGTGGGAATTGTGCCGATCAAAATCTGGCGAGTGTTCAGAGTACTACTGTTGCTGCAAAGAGAGTGTGGAAGTAACTGGAAAATTTACTTGGATTGGCAAGAATGTTGAATACATCCTTAATCATCCTGACTTCAATCCTATGACAAAAGAGAAGTGAAGTTGGGCCTCTTCTATTTACAAACATGGAACTGATGGAAGCTCCCATGGAATAAAAAATGGCGCA